TTGTCAGACCCTTCACAAGTACGCCCGTCTTTTTCGCCTCGTTTCCCCTGCTCATTTGCACGTCCAGGTCGAATCCCTGATGACGGAGGAGAAATATGTCGAGCACTGTAAATCATGAATGCATGCCCGGAGTTCGAAGTTCAACCGGTGTGGTGGATAGGGACAGCAGCATCAACTGCTGTTGGATTGTCGAGTGACTCTAAATTACATAGACTTGTCTAGGGAATGACAGCCCTTGACCCCGCGTACATGTACTGCAGCGCAATCCATGCCTAATGCTTGATTCCGACCAACGGAGGCGGGGATACTGTCGGGGGCACAAGATGACTAGGCCTGCCTGATCATGACGATGCTGGTGGTGGTGTGTCCGGCTTGTATTCGAACGGCTCGCCGCGCTCCTCCATTCTCCGGCGTGCCTCCTTCAGAGCCCACGTTTGTATACTGGATATTACATTTCGAGAAATTAGAACAGTGAGAGACTCGTGAGGATCGAGGTCACGCACCTGGTGTCCGGCTTGTAGTATAATAATACCGCGGCTACAGCCATCGAACCGTATATCCCAACATACCAGATATTCTCCCAAGGCTCCTTCACGCGCTTCTCTCCAGGTTTTAGAGGCTGCGCGCGCGACCATTTGTTAGCGAACTCCACTCTCGATGGTTGTATATGTGCATACCTTCTCGCCGAAGAGGTGACCAGAGGGCTCGTTATAATGAGGGGCGCCGTGCGAGGCGTATCGTGAGCTAGTGATACATCGAGGGGCTCTGGCCCTTGATGAGCGAGCGGCTTGAGACAGCATAGAGGAGAGTTCGCGTAGCGTTCTGAGTGCTGTTGTAGACGTCTTTAATGCGGTGTCGAACCGGAGACGCAGGTGTAAAGTACTAAATACGGACAAAGCCGGATTGTGTGGCACCAGTGGGACCTCGAGTTGCTGCAGGCTGCCTCGTCGTTAGCTAGGATCTGCTATCACTATATTCCCACCGGCAGAGATTTCTATCCACTAGTTATAGCTTTCGATAAAATTTCGTAATCACAGTCCACCACGTCCTCTTCATCCTCCCATGCATCACCCCCACTGTCCGCTGTTTCGCCGCAGGTCTTGCTTTGACCCGGCTCTCCGCTCTCCTGAAATGACTTCACGTGGCTCTCAAATGCGGGTGAACTAGGATCAAGGACGAAGCTGGGCGTATTATTGAACATATGATCGGAGCGTCGAAGCGGACCTGTACACTTACCCTTGTGATTCATAGAAGTTCCGCGCAGCGGTATTGGCTGAGACAGTAAATTAAGCAAACAAAGGGAATCTAATATGAGAGCAAATACCTTTTAGGACGGTCAGCATTACCTTCTCCATTTGCCACCACCGTCCTATAGTAAAAACTTGCTGCATCAAGAATTTCCCGAGTCCATGTCCTTGTTCTGATTTGGACACTTGTAGCTCATAGCTACTAATAATCAGAAGCCGGAACGCGCCTAGAAACCTGGGATTACTGACCAATAGAGGACATTCTCGCCTTCCTCATCTTCGAAACGAAACCCAGCATACGCAACGAGTGAACGCCTGCCGTTCATGTCTTGTCCGTCGGAGTCGTCGTCATGCTCACTATGAGGCCTGTGTAGCAAGACATAGCGGGCAAGCGGATGGAACATCTCATCACGCTTGGCAGGAGGGTCCCATCCGAAGACAGAGTTCACGTATCTGCATAAATGGACGCATGAAAATTCAGCGGAAGGGAAGCAGTACGGATGTGCCACACACAAACCCTTCATGTTGTCCTCGAAGATTTGCCACACATCTTCACGTTCAACAGCGGAGAGTCGCGGGCCTGTAGACACTTTGCACGAGAACCTGCCAGACAGTCTGAATACCTTCTGACATATGAATAGGCTAAGTACGTACGTTATTCCTTCATGCAGTGTGGTCGAAGGAATGGCGTCCGCGATTTCTGATGCTGTAGCCTGAGATGCCATATACGTTAGTCGATATATACTGGGATGAATATTGGAAGCGAATTTGTGCGGACCCTGTTCGCCCTTCGAAGAGCTCGAGAGGACATGATAAAGTGGCGTCAAGTATATCTCTGCCACTCTCGAAACACGATTTTCCGGTAAACTTCTCCTGAGAAGACAGTGCACTGAAGCTGGAAGAGCAGGCGGGACCAAATGAAGTTGGGAGCCACAGGAGCTTTGTCGACCAATGGAGGCGCTTCGATCGCCTGGCCTTTGTACGTAAGCATTAAGCCACATCGCGCGAAGCTAACGCGTCAGTGTCCGGCAGACACATCTGCACCCATGCTCATCTGTCCAGATCCGCTCTCCTCGCATATTCATGTGCTGGCTGATGACTGACCTAGAGTATCCTATTATTTCTTGACTTTACTCTAATGTCTGGCTTTATGCTTTCTGGACGCTTTGTACGACTACTGCCTAATAACTCTCGAATCTCTGGTTCAAGATATGCAAGTGTTGCATCTGGTGTATCGAAACAGCCGTCTTCAAGGAGCGCGAAGATTTTACGAAGGACTGGCTATGTTGCTGCCGCGCTTGGAGGAGTTTTTGTATGGGACAGGACATTCAACGCTTCGGCGTTAACGAGGACATGCCGGACGCTATACACGGTGAGTTTCACTCGCGTTCCGTCCCATATATCCCTCAGTTTGTATGATGTCTTCTTTCTTTTATGTCTGCTCTGTTGACTTTCTGCTTCCATCCTTCGGGCACTCTCTCCACGATCGATCCCCGCCATTTCACGTAGCTGACCTTGGATCTAGTGCGGCCGCGTCGCCCTCGACTACAAGTGGAACTTCAACGCGGAGCATGGTGACGAGATCCCTAAGATCCACCAGCGCACCGCAGAGCGCCTGTACAACCTCATTACAGCCAATGGCGGACTGTACATCAAAATCGGTACGCTTGCTTCCCTTGATTGACGTCAAATCAGTTCTGATATGCCTCTAGGACAGGCAATTGGTGCAAATGCTGCCGTTCTTCCCCCCGCCATGCAAGAGATGTTTAGCAAGCTCTTTGACGACGCCCCGCAGATCCCATTTTCCTCCGTCAAATCCGTCATCGAAGCCCAGTTCCACAAGCCGCTAACAGGGCCGGAAGGCATCTTTGATGAATTCGAGGAACGGGCAGTCGCGAGCGCGAGTGTAGCGCAAGTGCACCGAGCCAGGCTAAAGAGTGGAGAGATCGTCGCTGTGAAGATTCAGAAGCCCGATGTCAGAAAGCAGTCAGAGTGGGATCTTGACGCATATGCCCTGGTCATTTGGTTGTACGAGAAGGCATTCGACTTGCCTGTTTACTTTACTGTTGGTGAGTGGCTTTGTTTGATTTACATGCGCTGTCTTACACCCTGTTTTAGGCTTCATCTGCGATCACCTGCGCGAGGAACTCGACTTTGAGCGGGAAGCCGGAAACGCCATCCGTACGGCAAGCTTCATCGCTGCAGAACCGCGCCTTCGGGAGAGAGTCTACGTCCCAACAGTCTACCCTGAATACACTACAAAACTTGTCATGACAGCAGAGTGGATCGACGGTATTCGACTGTCTGATAAGCCTGCGATTCGACGATTAATGGGGGAAGCTCGCCAGGAAGATTACACTCGCGCCTGGCCACGGCTTACATCTATACCAGCCACGACACAGCTGCAGGGAGGCATGAAGACTGTGATGCAGTCCATGGTGGAGCTGTTCAGCGCGCAGATCTTCCGCTGGGGCTGGCTGCACTGCGACCCGCACCCTGGCAACTTCCTTGTGCGCCCGCACCCGCGCCACACAAAGCGTCCACAGCTCGTCGTCCTCGATCACGGGCTGTACGTGCACCTGTCAGACGAGTTCCGGCGCCAGTACGCTACGCTGTGGAAGTGCTTGCTCACCCAGGACTTTGATACTGTGAAGGATATTGCGAGTGCGTGGGGAATCGGGAGCCCGGATTTGTTTGCGAGCGCGACGTTGATGCGGCCGACGGGGTTGGATCGGGAGAAGTTGAAGGAGATGGAGGGTATGACGGAGTACGAGAGGAGTCAGGTTATGACGGAGAAGTTAAGGCAGTTTTTGCAGGATACGGATAAGATGCCGAAGGAGCTAATATTTATTGGGAGGAATGTTAGGTCCGTGGAGTCTGGCGTGCCTACTGCGTATTGTCACTGACTCTACTTTAACAGACTTGTGCAAGCTAATAACCAATCCTTCGGTTCTCCGGTGAACAGATTGAAGATCATCGCCAACTGGGCGTCCGATTCGCTTACAAAATCGCCAAACCTCACGGTCACGCAGCGGGGGAGAGAGCATGTCCTGAACGCACTGTTCAAGCTGGCGATGCTATCGCTGGACTTTGCCTTCTGGTCTCGTCGTTTGCTGCAATTAGTCTGCGGTGTTTTGGGGATCAAGAGCATCGGCTTTGAGGATGATCTGGACAGGTTTATGAGAGCGTTCGCGAAGAGTAATCTTGGGATGGATATGGCTGCTGCGTCATTCCAGGGATGATTGATGTCGTGGGGCGCAGTTAGTTATGTCTGTATTCTCAGCACGCTGCTAAGCGGGAGAGTCATGGATGTCCGCCCTGCGACGGCTCTCGATAAGGCGTACCGTATGCGTTCTCCAGATCCATGTATCTTCACCACTACACTTTCTGTCACTTTTAGATCAATTGTCATGATAGTACAAGCATTAGCAGACCACCTCCCTCACGTAGAAACAGGATTTGTAGCTCTAGACGTGGCCTAATCGATTAATCATTGCCGCACTATGTTGGCGTGCGCTCAGAAGTATTTCATCCGGGTAACGTACGGCTCTTAAGCTTCATCGTCCACCAGATGAACTGGCTGCCTTCCCTTGGGAAGTCGGTTGGCAAACTAAGAGCGCGACTTTGACACACCTACAGGATGCCAGTACTAATTTAGTTATGTTGGGCCTTGCCGCTGCGGGACGATGTAGAGCTGAGGATGATGAGCGCGAATGAAGTCATGATATGGATCTTAGCTGCCCCACCTCTCAACGCCCCGTGGTGTAGTGGTTAGCAGCTCTAGAGTAACACACGCACACACACACACTATACACATGCATATAAGCATTATACACCGGACCATTACTCTAGGGCCCCACCTCACAGCTACATCACAAGGCCGGCGGTTCGATTCCGGCCTGGGCGACTGCTTTTGCTACGCTTGGAGGCCCAACATCTAAGTAAATGATGTTCGCTTTCTGTCCTTAACTGTATACATGAAAATAGTGCAAGTGTATTAGTCTGGGAGTCATGAGCTTGCATCATTCGTGGGCACGGTAAGCGAGTGTTACTCGTGCCACCTCGCGTAGTAGGTCTCGTGATATGTCTCGTGGTCACGAGGATGTGACAAGTGATGCACTATGGCGTAACTTTGTGACGATTTGCCATGATATTTGCCATGATTCTGCCAAGTAATCATCGAGATTCGAATCATAATACGAGCATCCTGTAGCTTCGCATAAGGAGGATGTTGGGTGCCGACTAGGGTTCTCCCTCTCGTGTGCATTGCACAGGCAGAGTGGTTGTCCAGCAGAGTGTGAGGTTCCGCCACAGCGAGCGGAGTACACGAATGTATGCCAATCCTTGACATGAAACAGTCAATAATGCTCTCCGACGACAACATCCTCCCGTATATACCCTGCATTCTAAGACATCACAAAGAAGGCAGGGCTCTCAGTAAGGCAGAGAATTCGCCAGCGTCATTCAAGATCGTAGCAGCCCTCAGGCATGCGCTCGGATTCAGTACTGTCAGAGATATCCGTCGAGCCTGGGGACCTGAAATGCGGGACACAACAGGAAGAATCAAGGATCCTTGGTGACCGGACCTCAGGATGAGGTACCTCGACTTGGGTAGCGATAGCGAAGGCGAACATCAAGCCCGGCAGTCTTCGCAAAGAGAAGAACCGATTGTCGTCCGGATACCAGACGCATAGGTGGGAGGTGGAGCAGCACACCGTCTCCATCCACGACAAAGATAGGACACAACTTGCGGCATGAAAGGTTCGCTAGGACTGTACTCCCGTACGAAAAACAGGTCCACGCATGCCACAAATATCATGGAGAGTAGCTCGAGTGGCGGCCGGTGTATGGGAGGTGTGGGTCTTTCGGTATGGCCCATTTCTCCTTTCTATGCTAGACGTTCAGTTTGTACAGAGGAGTAAACTCTTGATCGCATACGGGAGAGCATGGGACATAGCTATGTTCGTTAAGTACGGCAGAGAACTGGGTGATCCCTTCCATAGAACTGGGACAATCCTCTGCAGGCAACTCCTCCAAAGGAGTAGAAATGAAAGCGATCGAACAGTAGTAGGATGAGAATCGAGGCTCGGTTCAGCTTGATCGTCCTGTAGATCTCGGCTTTTCCCATTCATGCTTGCACTTAGCCGCCGGCCTCGATCTTTCCTCCTGCACATGCGTTTCTCTTTGCCTACTCAAGTCCAAAATGAAGCTCGACGCTACTGACTTGAGATATGTTACCTCAGATGAATTCAGAGTTCTCACTGCCGTAAGTAATCACCGCTACAGTTCATTGAACGGCGCTCAAGGCTTACAGGTAGAAATGGGATCCAAAAATCATGAAGTAGTGCCAACATCGCTGATCGTCCAAATATCCGGCCTCAGAAATGGAGGAGTCAATAAGATGATAGGAGAACTGGCCAAGAGGAACCTTGTCTCAAAAGTACAAAATTCCAAGTGTCAGTGCACCTTCAGTCATCTTCGACAATGGGTCTTACCTGTCTGATCGGTAGATGACGGCTACCGTTTGACATACGGAGGGCTGGACTATCTTGCTATGCGGGCTCTTTCGAAGCGAGACTCGATGTACTCCGTTGGTAATCAGATAGGTGTGGGCAAGGAGTCGGGTGGGTCCTTCAGATCGTCCTCTCGCACTTTTCCTTATACGCCCATAACAGATATTTACATAGTAGCGGATGCCGAAGGCAGCGAAATGGTTCTGAAGCTGCATCGGTACGTTGTTGCTTGCATCTATTGTGGAGCATGAGCTCAGTCTGAGAAGCCTTGGTCGCATATCTTTCCGTGCAATCAAGAACAAGCGAGATTATCTTGGGAAGCGCAAGTCTGCTTCATGGATGTACATGTCACGATTAGCAGCGCAGAAGGAGTGGGCATTCATGAAGGTTTGGACAATCCGTTTGGGCACAATGATAAATATCCTGGTTGACAAACGTCGGTGTTAGGTCTTGCACGAGCACGAGTTTCCGGTACCCAAACCAATAGATCAGGCTCGACATTGCATACTTATGGAGTTCATCGACGCATATCCCCTGTAAGCTGCTCTACATCCTGTGCTTGAGGGTCATATTGATGCTGTCCAAATACAGGCGTCAAGTATCCGACGTCCCTTCTCCCGGGCAACTGTACTCCACATTAATGGACCTCATTATCCGATTTGCGAGAGCAGGTCTCATCCATGGCGACTTCAATGAATTCAACATCCTCATCCGCCGAGACACCGGAGAACCGGTCGTCATTGACTTTCCCCAGATGGTAAGTACGTCGCATGAGAATGCTGAGTGGTACGCAAAGTCATTTCGTTATATTGTACATTAAATCCTGACATGTCCTAATTTGGTTCACAAGGTATTTCAATCGCGACGTCGAATGTATCCGGCGATTCTTCCGAAGACGGTTCCGGTATGAGAGCGCCCTGTATCCACGATTTAGGAAGACGCTAGATGATACCGCTGATGGCGAGGGCTTCCGATTGGATGTTGCGGTGGCTGCTAGTGGGTTCAAGCAGAAGGATATGAGGACGTTAGAGGAGGTGAGACTTTGTTCCGTCTATGTGGCTCCTATGGATGACTTACTTAGTATGCCAGTATCTCGAATCCGTCAGAGAAGAAGAGGGTGGTGGCGGAGATGAGGACGAGGAAATGGAAGAAGAAGAGGAGGAGGAGGAGGAGGAGGAGGAAGGGGGAAATGTCGAGAAGGATAAGGAAGAATGGGGCGAGCAACAGGATGAGGAGTTGAACCCAGAAGCAGCAGGGGATGCGAAGGAAGAAGCACATGACAGCCGTCCATCTTCAAGGTCAGACGAGCGGGAAGGCGCTCGCACACCACGTCCGGATGACATCTACGCCAACAGACCTCCTTCGCCAACCGACACCCAGATTTCTCGCTCCCCGCCTCGGTCAAGATCCACCTCGCCTGTCTCATCCCTGCAGCACTCCATGAGCGCATTGCGCGTCTCCGAAGACGATGGGGTGCGGGAAGTCGTCTCGTCACAGGTCAATCAGAAGCATGCTCGGCAGCAGAAGAAATTCCACTCGAAGAAGGGCGCGCAGCGGGCTGGGAGGCCGAAGGGGAGTAAGGCTAAGCAGGATACGAGGGTGAAGATTGATAGGAGCAGTGGGTGGGATTGAGCAGGTCCGATTCCATGGTAGTGTGTTGTATGTGTTTGCTCTTGTATATAGTGCATTGGTATACATTGGTTTCCTCTAAACAAGACAAGTACGAGAGATCGTGGGTCACAACATGAGCGATAACGGTAATCTAAGAACAGAGCCAGGTTATTGCACCGTCTGCGGAGAATCATTGACATTAACGGCCTCATCCTTGGCTACTGTCTTTTCAATGTCCTTGTTCCCGTCAGCAGGATCTTGCGCTATGGTCCCTCCAACCGAATCAGAGTCCCTGCCAGGTGATCCCTTCTCTGCGTCCGAAGCACCAGTGGCACCACGCTCGCTCGCTTCAACGACGCTCTTTCTCGCCTCCCATCCGCCCTCCCACCCGATCCAAGTTTTAAGCCCGCAGTGAGGCCCACGGAGGAAGAGAATTGCCAACTGCCAGCCGCAGAGAGCAAGGGACAATCCCGCCGATGCTCGCCAGCCGTGCTCGACAAAAACCTTGGTACCTACTGAGGTACCTATAACTTGACCTATGAAAAGCTAGGCAAGAGTTAGCGAGCACTCTACAGATGTCCGGCATAGACGTAACTTACCATGATGACCAAGACAGCGTTGAGGCGAGCTCGAGCGGAAGCATCGATTCTGCATAATATATGATTAATAGAGTGGCCGCTGATCAGGGGATATAGCACCCACCCCCAGACTGCCGTTGTCAGAGACACTTGCTGCATCTGGCGGAAGCTATCGATCCCGAAACATGCGACGATGATGGCTCCGACATTGATGCCTCCGGCGCCGGTTTGGATGGCTTGCGACAGGGTGAGGAAGAGAGTAGACACTAATGTCGCGTACCAGGGCACGAGTCTATCGGTGAGGCGACCAAGGACGGGACCCATGGCTACGCCGAACATGCCGACAAGGCCGAACAGTCCGATGTCAAGGCTAGGAAATGGGACAAGAAATGAGTATATGCGTGCAATATATGCGGTAAAATACGGCACGCACGTCGAGTAATAGTAAGGCGGGCCTCCAAGGAGGAACGTCAACGTTACCCAGAAGCTCGTGAATACGGCGCTGGATGCAATGTTGATTAAACAGGCCTGAATAAGCAACGGCTCGGTAACGGTGAATTTAGCCATCGTCCAGAGGATCTTGAGATACGTCAGGTCCTGGTTCCGAGCAGGATAGTCGGGCAGAAGGAAGTAGAAGAGTGCGAGCACGGCGGCTTGCGCGCCGATAGCCATGTAATACACGACGCGCCACGAGGTGAATTGAGCAATGATGCCCGCTAGCACGCGAGCGAGGAGGATGCCGAAGAGGAGGCCGGAGAGGACGACTGAGATCGCCGACGCTTTGCGCTCCGGGGGAGCGAGGTCGGCTGCTAGTGGCATGAGCACCATCGGTGTGACGGTGAAGACGCCGACCAGGAAGCTTAGCGCTTCGAAGACGGCGAGGGATTTCGTTATTGCGAGTCCTATGGTTAGAGTTCCGGAACAGACAACCAGTAAGAGGATGAGGGGCCGGCGGCGGACGAGATCGCCCAGTGGTGAGATGAAGAGAAGGCCTGTTGCATAGCTGGTCTGAAGTATGAGCAGATTCTACCCGAGTGGTGCGACGGCAGACGAACCCGGCTTGGATCAGTGTTGGGATACTGTTCAAATGATCAGTTCAGCCGTTGTATTATGTCGGTGGAGAATAATGAAAACGCGGATACGGAGCGCAGAAACTCCTAGGGACGAGTCTATCATCGATCTCCTCCCCTCATCCGCAGGGCACC